TGTTGAAAAAAATATTAAAAATAATTCATACAAAAAGTTCTATTAACAATCATCATTTTTAATATTTATTACCTCCCAATGACTAAAAACTAGTTGTGGACTAGCCAAACCAGATGTCTGTTTTCGTATTTCTGCAGAAAATGAAAAGCTTTCGATAACTGGTAACAAAGCAGTTATATTGAAAGTGGATGCTGAACCATGCGCCATATCAGAACTTATAACTCGACCATGACGTCTTCCCAAAACTGCATACATTTTACCTGAACGACAATAAGTCATAAAATTTGAAAAAATCTGTTAAAATCAAATATTCAAAATTCACCTAAAATTTCGGCATTGGCTTGAATAGAACAAGAGTACATGGCAGCCATAAGTCTTTGTGGTTGGGCTTGGAAAGCTTTTCGACATCCGTCTTTCACAGCTGACATGATTTGCCCAGACATTGGTCCATAAGGATCACTATTTTTTAATCAATATCCAATTTTAGAAATGTATATTATATTAATAAAATGAAGAAATAAATTATTCACCAAGAAGTTTGTTGTGAGACATCAACTGTCCAATCTTCGACTACAAAACATACTCCCGTCATTGGTTCTTCACATAGAGGACCGGCTAAAGTTGCTATTTGAAAACCATTCATAAAACTATTTTCGTACTTTGTCAAATCGTTCACATTGTCTTTTGGATTCCACACTGACCTTGTGTAATCTGAAATAAAATATTATTTACATATTTTACTCATTGAAACAATTTTATAATAAACATTTAATAGGCATTTACTTGGAATTTTATTCAATAAGATATTTGGACCACATTTTCTAGGTCCAAAAGCCCAAATTTGAGACACATCCATGGTATTTCCGAGCGCTTCTTGTAATTGGGACCGAAAGGTATCTATAGCAATTCTAATATTTTTAGAAACACTATCTTCAACTGTCAAACGTTCTAATGCGTCCGAAATATTTTCAGTTTTTTGTTCTGACAAAGCTCTTAAAATGTCCGTTGATTTCTCTAGCAGATTTGTAACAGCTATTGGCAAAGGTTCCGCTCGAATTTTAATACAACACAAATGATTTGAAGTATAAACATTCAAAAGACCAGTTTCATTTTCTTCAGTTTCATTTTTCTAAACATGTGCAAAAGATATTCTTTAATTACAAATTAACTCAACCTACCACTCAAACAAGATTTTATAATCCCAACATTATATTTTTTTATTTAATGAACACTTTATTACATGATTAATAATCTATGTATTACATAATTTTCAAAGGTCCAACTATATGATTATAATAATAATTACTTGATTCTGGGTTTCAACAATTTCATGAGCCATGTCCACTTTAGGAGGCACCACAACAGTCTCTCGGAAAGGCACTATTGGAGCTGAAGCAACAATATCGATTTTAGCATACCTTACGAAAAAGTTACAACTGATTAGTATTTTAGAATTTTGTTATAAGCAATTACAAGTCATAAAAATGTGCCATGGTGTGCTGCAAGGGTTGACAGCAATCATGTAAGAGTGCTGAAGCTGCATTGAACCCTGCGTCACTAGCTCCCGGATGGATGACCTCCCAAGTTTTTAGCAACAATACTTGGCACACATGCACAATACCATGTGTTACAACCCTACCAACTCAAAAATATACAAAAATAACCCACTACTGTACCACCAGACACCCAGTGGCCTATCTTGACACAGGTTTCCACCAATAAAAAAAAAATTAAATAAACATTAAACACATACATTTAGCTTCATGTAAATCAATTATTTTATAAATTTATAATCTTTACAATTTATAAGAAATATTTTCAAATGGGTAAAATTGATATTTATAAATTAAGGGACACGAGTGACATGACTTACATGGAAGAGATAAAACCTTAAGTTACCTAACAAAAATCTTTATTTAATTTTAAATTTTAGGTTTAAAGTTATTTAGCTTTTTAATTTTACTTTTTATATTAAGTTTTGATTTAAGTTTTTATTAATTTATACCTTTCCCGAAGGTCTTCTAAACATTTTTGAAGATGTACTTCTCCTGCAGTGACAATTACATGCTCACCTGTTTCTTGCATTATTACCTATGACAAAAAAAAATCAATTTAATAATGTTAATTCATTCATTCATTTTAGTTTGAAATTTCGTAGCATGATTTGAATGGTATATACAATATAAATCAAAAATAGATTTGGCCAATAAGAAATTGTGTCTATGGAAAAACTTATAATACCATAAGTACCGAATTGTATAAATAGTAAATATCCAACACAAAATGTTTTTATTTTCTATAAGTTTCTTCATAAGAAATTTAATAATAAAAATATCTGCTGGCCTGAAAATACAATATAACAAACATTTTTTTTTTTTAGTGAATTTAATAAAATCC